GCCGACTGCCTGTGTCAGAGGCTTCTACTGTAACAGTAATCAAATTAAAATACACTACGTCTAACAAAATTTTTGAGAGTCATTCAGAATACTAAGTATGACCATAGTGACAGTTTGTCAATCTTCCACCAAAAAATAGCAATACACACCAACACTCAAAAGTCGCTGCTTACAACACCCACGGGAAAGATATGGGGTAAGCTGGCACCACACGACAGCATCGTTCCTTGTGAATAAACAACACTTTGCACTGCGCTCACCGATCCGCCTGCCGGACTAGGTGATTATGGGAAATAATACCCTCAATATGTAAAGGCCAATACTTGCTGTGGGCCCATGGCCAGCAGTGGACTTTTGTAGCTGTTATATGTTATGGTTCTATACATATTTATAAAAGTGATATGCTTTGAAAGGGAACGTTATCCAATAATAATATACAAAAATATTTTTAGCATTTATTCTTGATTCATCACATATGAAGTAAATTCAAGCAGACAAACGCAAACGCATACGCAGGAGACACGTCCTTAGCAAAAAAAGCAACTTTACAATGTTCCATATGTTATTCACAGCAGTACTGCAAAAAATACTAGAAATACTCCGTGTTTATTTGTGCACACCATTTTTCCAACAGCCATTCCTAAATGGGTACCAATAATATGTACGGATAATCACTTGAATTATTCTCGCACAAAGGTATAGAACAGCGCTTACCTCCCATCTTAAACAAATAGAACACACATAGTTAGATTTTATTTTTAGTTTAAAATATTGATTACGTCACGAATCAAAGCAAAAAAAAATGGTTTGATCTAAGCTACACATAGGATCTTAAACAAATATCGATAAGTAAGTAATGAGCAGCACTATTGTTTACTTCGGCACCACAATTTGGTACCGCCTTTGTTTGAAATTATACTATTAAAATAGCCGAATACTAATATTTTTCTATAAAATGCATTATTTAATAGCTGAATTGCGATAAAATACACTATTTTTTGTACTTACGAGGTTTGAAAAGTAGCGAATTTTGCCTTAGAACTCATATTTGTGGCCGACCACGTAAATGTCAGTGTTTTCAATATATAACACAGCTACAACGCCAAATCTATTACTTTTCGAGCGACAGGAGGTCGCACTAGACACTGTTCACAATTTTTTCCAGTAAAAGTCGTTATAAAATGCGTATTTTCTCTAAAATATAAAATTTTATATAAACACAAAACAACAATAGACGATTGACGGATAATGCAAGAAAGACAATGTCAAATTACCATAATACAAACTCGTTGTTTTTTTTTCTCAACTAAGGCGAAAGGTTTATTCAATAAAAACCTTAAGGTTCTATTTCAGAAGGTCAAATAGAGGTCATCGAAGGCAAAATATTTTATTAAAATTTCTTTATTAAACTTAAAATAATCACCAATCTAATACGTAGATATTGTAGATAAAGTGTAAAGCTCGAAACGGTTTTGAGATTTTAGTTGAAAATGACCTTGTTGGCATACCGAATTACAGTAAATTTTTTTACACCTTATACTTTTGCCATATGTAAAATAAGGTTATTCCCAAAGGCCCCCGAAACTCTAAAAGTTTGTATTCGGAGGCCGTTGGCACAAAAAAATCCCAACGGGCCCCGAAATTATATATTTTTTATTTTCATACATCAGCCGATCCGCGGGGCTCGTTGGGTATAACCGATAAATAACAGCTAAACAGTTGCCTTTCTCCAACAGTAACCCCACCGCTCCCAAACCTCACGCAGGACATCAAACCATCTATAAAAGCTGAGCTAGAAGACCTGCCTCTGGACTTCGATGACTGCTTCGACAACAACGACGATCAGTACGACGATGTCAATGATTCCAAGCCGGCGGCGTGCGATTACGATGTGGAAGTTGTAGTGTTGAGCAAGGAGGAACAAATCTTGGAGGTGAGTCGTGTTTAGTTATTTATTTATTTCACCATTTATTGTACACAAGAAACATTACAGAACAAAACATAAAGAAAATAGACACAACAGGCACTGCTTATCACTAAAAAAGAAATTTCTTACAGCAGACCCAACGGAGAGAAATAGTTTTGTCTACATCTACATATAATAAGATTTGTTTTTTTTTTTGTATATGTATGTAATCATTCGTGAGTACAAGTGTCGCAACGGTTTATGAGCGCTCGGCCAAAGTGGAGGGGATGTTTGCGCAGGTGTACACTCGCGCACAAAAATGTGTATACCTACCCGAATTTTTTACAATATTAAAGCCATACGCAACGAACACGCCTATTTTCTTTAATTGATTGCAAATGTCAGTGTATATTGGTTGTGCTGCAGAATGAGCTCGTTTCTTATGAAGCTCAAGATATTGAACTACCGCGTCTAAATTTTTTTGGAGAGAAGTAATCGTCCCGGCCGTTCTGTTTTTGATCTCTTTCAAGCCGCCAATAAGTTCTTCTGTTTCTTTTTTAATATGATTGTTTACATCATACATACACCATTTTTCTGGCCTGCCGGGTCAATATTTTTTTCTTTGGCATTTTTACCAACACCGCACAACAAAACAACAACAATAAAAACAAAAGATTTAATAAACAAAAATGAACAGATAACAAAAATCAACAAAATAAATATTCGACAAAAAAGTAACTGTGCGCAAGTGTACTTCAGGGACGCGAGACGTCAGCCAAATGCCAAACAGACCCAAAATATGAATACTGCGCATTCAAGGTCAGCGCTCATAAACCGTTGCGATACTTGTAACATGGGCTACTATACCACATAAAATATCTTATTCCTACGTGAAAACTGTAAGCAGTGGGAAAACCGGGCAACTTAGCTGATATAAAATACCCATGTTGGCCAAACCGCTTAACCGATCTTAGCGAAATTTGGCACTGATATGCCTAACATCGGAGACGGACATAGACTACTTTTTGTCAACGCTGGATCTGGAGTATCTGATGTCGACCACCAGTATACCATCTAAACTATAAGAGATATGACAATGGCATCAAAGCAAAAGTTGTATCGGAAAAGCTAAAAAATATTAAGGGTCGGGTGGTCATCAAGGGTCTGGAGTACCTGAGTAGACCACCAGCAACCCTCTAAACTAGAGATACGGTAGTTAATGTCTTCAAAGTAAAAGTTGTTCAACAAGATAAGGTGCTTTGCTAGCATTTATATATCGGGAAAGTTGAGTACGTAGAGTGGAACACCAGAAGCCTAGCTCAACCGAAAGAGATATAAGTAAGGCTTCTTGAAAATAGTTTTCAAACATCATGAGCCACTTCTTCTGGCAGGTAGTAATAGACGTTTTACTACGAGCACCGATTCCCACGGGAACACGGGTAAGTAAGTATGGGTGAGCCACTATTCAATCAATCAATGTTTATTTGCAAGAACAAGAACACATGTAAATAAAAAAAATCTTAAACAATAAACCTGTACGAGAAAGTAATAATCATAATTGATAACACTTTACGATATGGACCAACAAATTAAATAAATTGAGTCATAAATACATGAGTGTTTTTGAACCCAAGTTTATTTTTTGGCAAACATTTTGTATGATACTTTTATTTAGAACAAAAATAACTTTTATCTACACTCATTTCGTAATATTCGTTTTACAGAATCGAAAGTACGAACGTAATGAACTGCATTATGAATAAACAGCCCTAAAAAAAACATTTCATACTACTGGCAGCTACATAAAGTAACTCGATTTCTAGTTTTAAAAAAAAATTAAACGAATTGACCCGCGTACCAAATTGTAATCTGTTCCAATTTGACACTGGCCAACAGTAAGTCAAATGAAAAAAAAAACAAGTGTCACCTGGGCGAGACGACACTTGAAATTATGAGGACTTATTTATTATTAAATCTTTGCTTCAAATAATTTTTCGAATTAAAATTCACCTAATAATTGCTTTTTAATTTTAAAAGTCGTTCAGTTGAGCTTAAAGTTGAGCCTCAATTTTAAGTTAATTTTAGTTAAAAAGTTACTTATGTACAAAAGTCGTTCAGTTGGTGGTTTAGTAGATAGGTTTGCAATCGCCATAGTGCAGTGCGGAGGTTTGAATTATTTTTCATAGTTTTTCTTGTAGAGTGTAGATAAAATAGTGTATGCAACTGCATATAATTAGGCTTTAGAATGTTCGTGTCAAACTACATCTCATCCTAAAGCCTCTCATTATTAGGCAGTTGCATAAACTACTATAAATTGATTTTTTTTTTGCGTTTCGAATACATTTCTTTTCTCTTTCAGTTGCAAGCACGAAAAAACACACTGAACTATAAAAACTCGTTCTACAAATGCGAGATGTGCTTCAAAGGTTTCATGGTTGAGAGCACATACAGGAACCATATGGAACGGCACCATCCCGTAAGTAACTAATTGTGATATTCCTGCCCTTATCCCAAATCTGTTGGTGATTGTTAGAAACATGATTTGTTAGAACACACAATCAGTATTAACTTTTTGGTTACAAAGTTAATACAAACGAAGCAAGCGGAAAAATTCACGCCGCCGGCGGGATTTGAACCCACGACTTCTGACAAGCCGGGTCAGACGTGTTGCCGCTTACACCACGGCGGTGCCTGACGTCAACCTTGTTGGGTAATACTATTGTAGGTGATATCACCGCCACCATGCGGTTCACCATAGTCGACAGATATTCAGCTGACTAAATTATGCTCTTATTCGATCTTTATTATACCACACAGGAAACCATCGATACAAGATAAAACTTAAAGAAACTAAATAGAAAAGTGTCCTCCGTCACAGATAAAAAACGTCCTCATAAATTTGTATGTCGCAAGGCCAAACATGTAGGACTTACCACAATTCTCTCTGTTTTTGCTACTCATGTTTTACAATTAAATTATCTTAATCTTTCATAGGAGGACACTATATGTCCTTTGTCCAGTTACTACGACAGTTTGGCAATAATTAAACAAAAAATATTAACACAAGTGAAAATAAGAAATAGAAATAATTACATGCATCGACCGGGGATCGAACCCGGGCCGCATGGGTAAACGCCCCACCGCTCTGCCACTGAGCAATCGATGCACGGCCGATGAACGCCAAATTTTCTATCTCTTGATGCTCGTCTCCAAGCGACGATCCAGCGACATCTGTAGACAGTATTTAGAACTTACTACATGGTTAGTCCACATTATGAGTGGAATTCAAACCATATTATGAAGCTTGCTTAATCAATCTATTGGGATTGTAAAGCACTCACAGTGCTATATTATTCTCACAAGTGAAGTAAGTTCTAAATACTTTCTACAGATGTCGCTGGATCGTCGCTTGGAGACGAGTATCAAGAGTTAGAAAATTTGGCGTTCATCGGCCGTGCATCGATAGCTCAGTGGCAGAGCGGTGGGGCGTTTACCCGGTCGATGCATGTCATTTTTTCTATTTCTTATTTTCACTTGTGTGAATAATATAGCACTGTGAGTGCATTACAATCCCAATAGAAAAAAATATTAAGTATACATTTTTCTATTCCAGTCCTTCGGCCGATTCTCGTGTGACGTATGTCAGCTGCGATTCCCGAACAACCGCACGCAACAACAGCACAAACTAGCAACACATTCCAGGAACTACATTTGTAGGATTTGTGGACATATTAGTAAAGCTAAGTGAGTCTGATTGAGTCTTAGATAAGCGAGCCTTGGGCTATAATGTCTAAGAACAATATAAACTAGCAACACACTCCAGGAACTACATTTGTAGAATTTGCGGACATATTAGTAAAGCTAAGTGAGTCTGATTGATTCTTAGATAAGCGAGTCTTAAGCCATAATTCACTACACATTCTAGTAACTACATTTGTAGGATTTGTGGACATATTAGTAAAGCTAAGTGAGGCTGATTGAGTCTTAGATAAGTAAGTTTTGAGTTATTATGTCTAACAACAGCACAAACTAGCGACACACTCCAGGAACTACATTTGTAGGATTTGTGGACATATTAGTAAAGCCAAGTGAGTCTTAGATAAGTGAGTTTTGAGTTATAGGGCCTTACCACAAAAAAGTTAGACCAGTGTTGAACGCGTGTCTAAAATAAAACTCCATACAAAAAAAACGCTAGACACGCGTTCAACACTGGTCTAACTTTTTTGTGGTAAGGCCCATAATGTCTAATAACACAAGCTAGCAACACACTTCAAGGAACTATATTTATAGGATTTGTGGACATATTAGTAAAGCTTTTATGAAACAGGGTAGTTAAGTGAAGCGAAAGAAATAGTCTTAGCATTTGTGAGTCTTAGATAAGTGGGGTTTATTGAGTCTTAAACAGTTTTATCTATATTAACGAGTCTGCGTAAATTTTGATGAGTCGAATTTGACTTTTCTCAATATGAATATAAGGTCCTATTAAATTCACTGCAAATATTTTAAGGGCATGCGTAAATATGTATAAGAAAAACATCTAAGGCATTTTAAAAAAAAATCTACACACTAATTTTTTTTTTCATTTTCAAACAAACTTTAATTAATTATGTGAACATCCTTTGACTGACCCGACTGACGTTCCGCCACGTAGACAGGATTCACTTACACGGCACGCACACTAACAACCAACCAATCACAGCACTTTTTTTGGTGCGTAATTTAAATTCATCGAAGTGTGTGTTTCTAGGACAAACAGGGTGCACTTTTTTCGTTTTTTTTTTTTTAGTTAAATGCAATTTTCTCGGAAACTAGCGTGTAGATTTCTTTAAAAATTTGCCTAGTACATGCTTATATTTTATTTGATCTGCCCCTAAAATATTTGCAGTGAATTTAATAGGACCTTATATAAATATTGAGAAAAGGCAAATTCTATAGGGCTTCGCTTCTTATCTATATTATGTTTTCTCTTCTTATTCACAGGAGCCGAGCCAAAGAGCATTACAAATGGCATCAGGGAGTGTTATACGTCTGTGATATTTGTGGAGCATCATTCGAGTAAGTTAATGTGCTTTCTTGGCGTTTAAATTGAAAACATAACGATTTATTAAAGAGCGGGCTAAGAAAATCATGGGTGTCGTAAAAAGCTACTATAGGGCTTGAGCAGCAACGTTCATTGTGAATTTAAAATTTTTACTGCGCTCACCATTTCGCGTGTCAATCTCGTTGAGTATGGCAATACCGCCGATAGGGAGAGGCTCATATCTAGCAGTTAATGTAATGCAACAGTTTACTAGTTCTACTACAAATCGATGATTTTGTCGCTTACTGGCTTTAACTGGAATCTCAGGGGAACTATGAAGATGGTTTTCACGATCGTCATATTTTTTGGATTAAAATTAGCTCAGAATCATAAGACGTTTTCATAAATTGAAAATGAGAAAATTGAAAAATTCACTAGCGACCGCCGGGACTTGAACCCGGGACTGTGGATCAACGTTCCACCGCTCTGCCAACTGAGCTACGGGCGCCTAGCGGACCCTGTTGAATTTCTCAACCTCTTGATGCTCGTTTCGAAGCGACGATTCAGCGACATCTGTAGAAAGTATTTAGAACTTTACGACATGGTTAGTCCACATTATGGATTATCGAGACGAGCATCAAGAGTTGAGAAAGTCACCAGAGTTAGCCAGGCGCCCGTAGCTCAGTTGGCAGAGCGGTTTGACGGTACCTCACGGTCCCGGGTTCAAGTCTCAAATCGAGACTTTTTCAAATTATGTAGGTTTACGCGACTTACTTGTTATTTAGTTTGTAGAAGGTGTAGCCCTCTACGTTTCGGCTGGTTACGACAGCCTTCTTCCCGGAGGACGAACAATCACACACGCGCGACCGCCAGTTGCGATTGTCGACTGTAAGTAAGTCGCGTAAACCTACATAATGAGTGATACTTGTTCGTTTAATAATAAAATTGCCAACCTTTTTCAAATTTTTTAATTTATGCTTTTGTATAGTTTTTAACATATTCCTGTTTTTACTTCCAGCAAACCGACCAGCCACCTAACCCACGTACGGACCAACCACCCGTCGCGACACATTTGTTCTTTATGCGGAGCCTCGTTCGTCAGCGCGCATGGACTCTTGACGCATGGACGGAGGGCACATAGACAGCTCAATGAGGTACAAAGATTTTGAGTAACATATAATATCATTGTTTTGAGGTATATCATCATTATCTGCCTGCCCTTATCCCAGTTTATTTTGGGTCGGCGCAACATGTCTTTTTCTGCCATTCATCTCTATCAGCAGTCAAATCCTCACTTACGCCTTCTTTTTCATATCGTCTTTTATACAATCCATCCAAACTTTTTTAGGCCTTCCTCTTCCTCTGCGTCCAACTCAATATACTATAATCAGGCTATTTTTTGTTTTTGCTTTTGGGGCTATTTTATTTACTTATATTTTAGGCCTAATTACTTGTGTTTTGGACTGTTTATCGGGCTCTTATTATACCATCCATCTCGACACATTTGTTCTTTATATGGAGCCTCGTTCGTCAGCGCGCATGGACTGTTGACGCATGGACGGAGGGCGCATAGGCAACTAAATGAGGTACCAACTGGTAGACCGAGCTCGCTCGGTTTTTTGTTCTCTATGCGTTAGTTTCGAAACAACTTACAAACACGGTTGCACTGTCTTAAAAACAGATGTCGCTGTTTAGTTTTAAATGAATTTACAAAAAAAGTGTGAAGCAACGATTTTTGCCAAAAGACATCTATCTATATCGATTTATCGCCCCCGAAAATTGTGAAAATCGTTGCAGCCGTTTCCGAGATCCCGAAAATATATAAATATAGAAGTATAAGATTGTCTTTCATGTTCAACTGAATGATATAATCAGGCATTTTTTGTTGTGTTTCCTTTCGGGCAGCGGATTCGGCCTATTTTACTTATATTTTAGGCTTAAGATAGGCTTAAAAACCAAGCGACGCGACAACGACGCGCGTCGTTGTCGCCGTCAAATTTTGACGGCGTCGTTGTCGCTGCGGTCTTGTAGAAAAACCCGACCGCATCCCATACAAACTCTAAGCTTCTCAGCGCGCTGTCAACGTGACGGCGTCGTGGCGCGCCGCAACGACGCCGTCGCTCGGTTTTTCTGGTTCCCCATACAAACCCATACAAACCAGTCATTTGCCAGCGGCAACGACGCGCGTCGTTGTCGCTGTCGCTTGGTTTTTAAGCCCACCTTTATTTACTTGTGTTTTGGACTGTTTTTCGGGCTCTTATTTAGAACATCCATGTAACTAAACACACATGTTTGCTTTGTGGAGCTTCTTTCGTCATCGCGCATGGATTGTTAACGCACGGACGGAGGGCGCATAGACAGCTTAATGAGGTATTAACTTAGAGTATATATAAGCAAGCTATAGAGTGCGCCTAAAAAGTTAGAACTGGCGGCGCCTCTCTGTCTGTCAGTAGCAAAACGCCAGTGACAGCGCTACTGAACATCTATAACTTCTCATACATTTGACGTCTGTATCTAGGGAGCAACTGCTTATGCTTTGACAGTACGCCGCGGGGCCTAATGCGCACTCTATAGCTTGCTTATATTACTCTAAGGGTATTAACACTCTAGGACTTTTCGACCCACTTTAGTGACGTGTGGGTAATAGCCCGAGCGACGGCAGGTCTTAACCATATCTCACAAAAGAATAGAATATTTTAGCTATGTACGGGTAGAGGAGCTCTAGTACTTCGGATTGGTCGTGGTCTGCCGCGGCGCAGCTTGGCACGTTTGGCGGAGTAGCTAAAAGTTTGCCCTCTGAAAAAAGTTAAAAATATCTCATCGAAGAATAGAATGGGACATGGCTGTAGCGATAGGAGCAGTTTAGTAAAGCATATAAATCTTGGTCTGCCGGCTGCTATCTTGGCACGTTTGGCGGAGTAGCTAAAAGTATGCCCTCTTAAAAAAGTAAAAAATATCTCATCGAAGAATAGAATGAAACTATATCGTACCGATAGCTTGCTTGAGTCTGCCTACATATATACTGGTCTGCCTGGCCACAGCCTGGCAGTTTTCCCAGTCCGACCACTTTACTTTTTAGTAAAAATTTTATCTCTTCGAATAAAAGAATAAAAATATGTCGTACCGATAGCTTGCTTAAGTCTGCC